ACACACACACACACACACACACACACACACACACACACACACACACACACACACACACACACACACACACGTTCTGATTTTTTATCAATTCGCTACCCTAGCGTTCTATATTCAAGTATACCAAAGAAGCGGTTATATACTGTACACAGTCACTCAATCAAGATACTTCCTATGAAGCCACGAAGTCCTACATCCTGGACGGGATTACCTTGTGAGCTAGTCTATCTCCGTAGAGGTGCGAGACCTTCTAAATTGAACCTCCTTAGTTTGACCTAGCCGTGCTGGGAAGGGGTGTACTCTTGACCTTAACCGTGCCTGTGGTTTCTCCTCAGAGATTGTCAGTGATTATACTGAAGGATGGAGGCTGAAAGGCCAGGTTCAGATGTGATGCAATAAGACATTCCAGCTGTAGCTTTGACACATGAAATCATATATGAGTGATCACGCTTTCTCTGTAGTAATACCAGATTTCACCATTCGTGCACTGTACAAGATTAGACTCAAGATGTCCATCCCTTGTCCCTAATATTGTATTTGAATGTTGCATGTTGAATATGCAGTTATAGATGTGATGCTACATTCCAGCTGTAGCTTTGACACATGAAATCATATCTGAGTGATCACGCTTTCTAAAGTTTCTCTGTAGTAAGACCAGGTTTCACTATTCGTGCCCTCCACAAGATTAGACCCAATATGTCCATTCCTTACTCTCAAAGCAGAGGTTTGGGTTTTGGCTTATTTTTGGCAAACCTTTAGGCTTTTTATTGGGCTTTCGTTTTTGCACTGGTATCCTTTTTTTACCCACAACAAAAAGATACCAATGCAAAAAAGAAAGCAAAAGCCTAAAAAACACGCCAACAATAAGCCCCAAACCCAAACCTCTGCTTGGAGAGTACCCATTCCTTGACTTTGCAGGTATTCAGTTTTAACTGTGACATTAAAAATACAAACCATACGAAGTTTCATTGAAGATTTTTTTTCACATCTCTACAACTACATTTACAGATGATATTGCCGTATTCGTGTATGTCATCAATAAAGATAGTACTCAGTCACCAAAACGTGATATGGATATAGCATGCCACTGGCTTGGCAAGGAAGTGATCAAACGCTAATTGTAAAGTCAACAGATAGTAAAATGAAGAAATGACACACAGAGGGGGTCCCATAACCCAAGGTCCAGGGTTCTGTATTGAGTTAACTGTAATAATAACACCGAGGTCCTTCAACTATTTTTGTAGCTACCTGATCTCAGTCGTTTGTATTAGCCTCCACCAGACCTTTCTATACGGTACGGGAATACGGATAGTAGAATTCGGCAAAAAAGAGAGTAAAATTGGCCAAAGGAGTCCGGCCGCGGGTAAGTTGTTTCTTTTCGGCCTGTCAAATATACTCCCCCGGCAAATATTCTCCTATATATAGCCAGCGTAGTTAGCCTGGTAGAGACTACGTTTGTATAGCCTGGATGCCAGACCCTGGCTCGACACAATACTCCCTTTGGCTGAAGGAAGCCACAAGCCCCCCTGTCTTTCCTTTAATGATCATCATACTGATCATTCTGGCATGCCAATTCTTGGCAAGACTCCAGATTGTAGAATTTGTACCATCGCACGCCGGGGCATGCCCCTACTCTTTTTCGAAAGGTGTGGTGGGTTCTTTAACGTGCGTGGGGTGTGGTTCTCCCCAAACACGGGACCTCCATTTAACGTCCTAATGGACGTCCCTAACCGAAGCTAGGTACTCATTTATACCTGAGTGAACTCAGGTATACCTGAGTGAAGTGAGGAAAGTCGTGAAAAGTGCCTTTCCCAAGGGCACAAGATCGGTAACATGGGTGGGGATCGAACTCGGGACCTCTTGGCCCTGAGCCGAACGCGCAACCGCTGCGCCACACGACCCCGATCCCAGAGTTAGTACCTGGGGGTCTAATTTATCTCTATCTGAGGGGATGTCTATGGTAAAATTTTCGGAGCCGAGGGGCTAGCCTGTATATTACTCATGGCAACAGTCTGGCGCCCAGGCTATCGTTTTTTTATGTAGTAACCTGGAAGAGGTTGGGAGCATTTATTTGGTATATTAGAGTGAATTGGCCACTCAGACAACAGTCGGGGGCTAGTCGGAGATTTTATTTGAAACAGGGGAACGTTAGTTAAGCGTGTGACAAGTTGGATTTGAATTTTAAAAGAAATGTAGGAGCCATCGCATTTTTCTTGCGACTGGCTAGTTTATTTGTCATCCCTTACATCCATGATATAATTGTTTTTATTCAACACGGAGGAATAATAAGAAAAACTAAGGTCCCATTCCCACTAGGATAGAATTGTCCGGATCGAGCCGAATCGATTCGGTTTGATCCGGCCTCGATCCAGCTCGAAGCCGGATAAAAGCGAATCAATTCGGCTCGATTTGGACAATTTTATTCTAGTAAGAAAAGGGCCTAAACCCGTTCGAAGTTATGGTACTGTCGAAGTTATGGGACCCTCCGTTATATTTTCTCGGCTGTATATATATTAGCTGTACTGAATCATAGTCTGACGCGACGTGTCCCTTCTACATACGGTACACGCACGCCCTCTACCGAAATAGCACGTTCATTCATGGCGGGTAGATTATACCGAAACTTTATTCGCAAAATCATGCCCGAAGGCTAATTGCTTTTACAATCAAGTATAATACTCATTGCAATACAGTAACAGTAACAGGAGACAGGTAACAACTGTCTGGAAAAAAAACTTCTACTTCTACTACTACTACGCTAGCTGTAATGGGGTTCGACTTCTTCTTTGAAGGCAGTGGATAATGAATAGTCCCACATTCTGCATAATTAGTGGGTTTTGTACCAATGTAAGCACAGCATATTCTTAACATCCAAGTGTCAGAAAAATAATAAAATCCTTGTCATGGTACTTTTCTTCAAAAATGAAACATATGTTTTGCTGACATTCTACTTATTAAAGTTTGCTGACATTCTACTTATTTCATTTTATAGTGTGAAGTTTATTGCAAATTCATGCCCGGGGGGCCAATTGCAGATTACAAACATAAAAGAACAAGGAAACGTAGTATAAAATAACTAAAATCTACATGATAAAAGGTAGTTGTCTAAAGCTATAGCTATGTCTAAAACTATGTCTAAGACTAAGAGGTTTGACTTCTCTTTTTTAGACCATGGAAGACGTAACGTCCCACCTTTTCCAAAATTAGTGGGTTTGGGGAAGTTAAAAGAAGAATAGTTTTTTTATACATGTTATATGGTGCACCCAAAAATTTTTGTGTGCACCCATTATTTTAGGTTGGGTGCACCAGTGCACCTATAAGCTTATTACCAAAAATGAATTTGGAGCCCTGCCTTTTGTACTTGCCTTACTGTGTCGTATCGGCTGTCCATTAGTAACACTGTACAAAAAAGCGAGAAGAAGTTGACCTCTCTATATTAGCTCAGTGACTAGAACACTTTGTATTAGCCTAGTATAGTACCCTTGTATGTTCCTTATGTATGTATGTCTAAGTCAAGTAGTGCATCTTTTGTCTCCAATTTCCTATATACGTTTGTTATGTGTCTGTTATATGTTGACCTGTCGTAGCATGAATGTACAATAAAGGTATTTCATAATAATTATTTAGTAACACGTCACCTACCGTCACCCGTACATTTAGGTCTTAGCTGTATATGAATTTTACTGAATCATAGTGTAAAGCGACGTGTCTCTTCTACATACAGTACACGTATATATACACGTATGCCCTCTACCGAAATAGCACGTCCATTCATTGCGGGTAGCCTATACCAATATCCGCACAGGAGTGTTCGGGTAAAATTGGTCCGATTAACTTAACTGTAACTTGGTTTATATTGCCTGTATAGTAGTGTTAGAACATAAAAGCACCAATTGAATTCGAGTCTTACTTAAATAAAAAGACTAAATCCTAGAATTCGACATAAACATGTTTAGGCATGGCGATCTCTACACTATAAAAATGGTATCGTCGTATTTTGGGTCAGAGGGCACGAATGCGGAAGTGAATTTACGTTCCAGCAAAGTGACAACACAAGTCGTCAGAAAGACTACAAGAAGGGGACCTACTGGCACAGAAAGCTTACACAAGAGCCCCACATATATATATAGGATTTAGTTCTGTGTCTGTGGCATCTGCTAGCTTCTCTGTGAGAGGGTAAAAATGTCTGGGACGACCGTGGGAGGGTACGAAATCACCCGGGAGCTGGGGAGAGGAACCTTCGGGACTGTGTACGCGGCGAAGCGGGGGCAGGGAGAGTTGACGTACGCGCTGAAGAAGCTTCGCCTCGGCTCGAGCGGCGCGGACCAGGTCCTGCCACATCTGCGAGAATTGAAGGTACCCAATGCAGCTTTTAGGGGCTTGAAAATAGTCAATATTCGTATGTACATAATAACATATCTACATGGTAAGTTAAAACAACTGTTTACACTACAACGACATTCATCGAGCAAAATGCCGAAACTTGTGACCACATCTGCAAGCCTCAAAGGTACCCAATGCAGTTTTTTAGGGCTTGAAAATGTTCAGTATACGTATCTACATAATAACGTATCTACACATCATGACATTAGTTAAAACAACAGTATCACAATGTATAACTTAAAACGGAATATAACCGACATTCATGGAGAAAAATGCCAAAACTTGTGACCACAACTGCAAGCCTTAAAGGTACCAATGTAGTTTTTAGGGCTTGAACAACAGATCTTTTCAAAGTCAATATTCTAATAACTACATATCTACATGCTAAGTTGAAACAACACTATCCCAGTATCGACATTCATGGAGCAAAAATGCCGCAACTTAACAGATTACCTTATTAAGAATATTACAGTTTTGCCGCTCTGAAATTGCATTGGATGTCTTTCAATTTTCTTTATTGACTCAACAAAAAGTACAGGGACGTTTGTATGGTCTTCTACAACTAAAGATCTAACAAATATTAATGAATAGCATCATCCTACGTACAGAATGTATCATGTATGCGGCAAATTACGTCCAGAATATATGTCAGAGGCAACAATAAAGGTTTTACTATTCTCTAACATATTTTTTTTAACGGAGTAGTTCAATGCAAGGCCTATGCGACCACTTCTCGGCATTGAACTATGAGAGAGACATGGCTATGGCAAGATATGGTCTCTAAGATTTAATCATTCTTTTTTAAAAGGAAATACAGCAAGAGGCGAGGGACTCCGAGGTCCCAATCCTGAGACTGGTGGAGTTCTTACATCAGGACGACGCGTTCTGGCTGGTGACGCGGTACTGTGACGAGGGATCTCTGAGCGACTTCTTACTGCTACACCCGGAAACTGACGAGAATCAGACCGTCAAGTTTATGGTACAGATCTCGGAGGCTGTGAAATTCCTGCACAGGTTCGTCTAAAACTTAGACATTTTTCTAAGTTTATTTCAGCTACGTAAATATATCTTGAATTGTAATTGAGATCTCAGAGGCAGTGAAATTCCTGCACAGGTTCGTCTAAAACTTAGACATTTTTCTAAGTTTTATTTCAGCTACGTAAATATATCTTGAATTGTAATTGAGATCTCAGAGGCTGTGAAATTCCTGCACAGGTTCGTGTAAAACTTAGACATGTTTCTATATTTTAGCTACGTTAATATAGATATCTTGAATTGTATTAGATCTAGGAGGCAGTGAAATGCCTGCACAGGTTCGTTTGTTTGAACATTTGAACATGTTTTTTAAAATATTTTATTGACAGAATCGAAATATAGATATCTTGAATTGTATTAGATCTAGGAGGCAGTGAAATATCTGCACAGGTTCGTCTGAACATTTTGTTTGGGCTTTTGTTTTCTATATTTCATTGATGAAATCGAAATATAGATATCTTGAATTGCATTAGATCTAGGAGGTAGTGAAATACCTGCACAGGTTCGTGTTAGCCATAGACTTTTTTCTATATTTCAGTGACGGAATCGAAATATAGATACCTTGAATTGTATTTAAGATCTAGGAGGCTGTGAAATACCTGCACGGGATCTTGGTAGCCATTATGAGACTTTGTTCTATATTTCAGTGACAGAATTGAAGTATAGATATCTTGAATTACACTCAATGGTAGAGGGTCTGCAGTAGTTGCTGTACAGCTAATCTCCAAGCAGATCATACGGTGGCAAGACAGTATCCACCTTGCCACCGTAGGATCTGCTTGGAAATTATATAGTCTTTTCTATGAATATTCTTCTATAAGAAGAAATATAACTGAAGAATTATTCTTACTACTGTTCCAGTATGTTCTGTTTATGCAAATTGCAATTGTTTCTGCATCATCAAGTTCCCAATATAAAAGGTCAATACGGATAAGTGAACAAAATAATGTCCATATAGCCTCATGTGTTTTCATGTCAGCCACAGAACATGGAACAAAAGGACGCAGTGACTGTTATTACCCCATGAAATATTTATGAGCCACTTGCTGAATTAAGGCCTCATACGTAGTCCCTTTTGAAAAGGATATATAGTTTTGTATTGGAAAACGCTATGATCAAACAATGAGCAGTGCTCTTATGTCACGAAAAGAGGACCGTGTTACAGCAAGGATGGTTCGATATTTAGTAACATTAAGTCCAAAACAAAGGAATAACTTTATAGGACGAGTAGAGCGTATTGAACTGGGGTTTACCAGTTTCAGTTTCAGTTTCAGTTTTTATTCGCACTTTAAAACAAAATACAGACACAAGAAAATATAAATGAAATGTGACAGTGCAGGGAGGCCGGAAGCATAAAATGCTTATGAGGAGGCCTCCCTTCATAACTTAATTAACAATTCAAATTAATCGGATAAATAAGAAATAACTTACTAGGTAACGGGTAAATGAAACAAAACAATAAAATACAATACGATACAATACTATCTACAATTATGAAAAGTAGTAATGAAAAGTAGTAAACAAGGAAACTTAAACAAAAATTAAGAATGTGTGGGGTTATTTATGAAAGTTGCTTTAGTATAATTTTTGAAAATGGTGACGGAGGGACTAATTTGTAAAGTTCTACTTAGGTTGTTCCAAATTGTTGGGCCTCTGTACGTGATTGTAAATTGACGGAGATTCGATTTCGCATTGGATGGCCTTAAATAATTGCATTGGCGTGTAAAGTGGTTGTGGATGTCTGAGTTTAATAAGAAGGTGTAGGTGTCGTGGAAGGTTTCAGGAAGGCAAGGACATTTATTCATTATCTTGTACATTAAAAGACTTGTTTGTAGTTTATTATTTTTTAGTTGTCGTCTCATCCGTTTGTTGACAATTGTTTTGAAAGGGTTCGGAGCAAGGTCATATGGACATAAAATTGCTATTGAATTCCTAATGAGGGAAAACCTCAAACGCAATAAGGCATGTATATATAAAGTTAATGACGGACGTTAATATGACAGACGACTGTGTCTTTTTATATTGCCCCAAACTATTTTACCTATATAGCTATAGCCTCTAAAGACAACTTGACACTGTCGTCGACACAAGAATTTTTAGCATTTTACAGCGTTTTATTCTTGCACATTTAGGCTTAATGACTCCCCGTTTTCTTGTCTTATTTCTTTATTTACATTTTCGGGCTAAGAAAATGGTATAACACACACTACAAACCGACACTGGAGACGTCATTATATAGAACCTACCGTCACAATTATAAAATTCCATATAAGAACGCGCCCTTAATGTTACAATATATAACTGTTGTTTTCCAGCAATGGCATAGTCCATGGAGGGTTAAACATGGACAACATGCTGGTGACGGGACAGTTCGGAGGCTTTGTGCGCGGGAGAACTATCATGAACTACACTATAAAGGTGGGTTAGCAACGGCTGCAGTCGAGTATAAACCGCAAGGAGGCGTTCTTGGTACAGGTCAAGTGACTTGGATGGTGGATCCTAGTTACGTTATGTTGATTTGATTCTCCAACATCCAATGGAAGCCCCAAAACTATTGCTAGCGTGTGAATAAAAAAGTTGATGCAATCTACGTGGTCATGAAGGCTGAACACTGAAATGACTAAACACATGTATGGTATTGGTATGGGGAATAACAGGAGAATAGTGTTAGGAGAATTTGCTTCTAAGTTTCTCGCACGATAGCTATACGTATCTACTCTCGAAGCAGATGTTTGGCTTATTTTATGGCGTATTTTTAATGCTCTTTTTATTGGTTTTTGTACTGGTCATCTACAAAAAAGAGACCAGTACAAAACGAAACCCGATAAAAACATAAAGTTGAATTGCCTGACAGGTGAGTGACTACGGCATAGCTAGGATGAGCGGAGAGGATATCTTCATGCACTACTACTACCGCTACGACACTCCGACCCGCTACTTCACCGCTCCCGAGGTCCAGGAGCAAGTCTACACCAAAGGTAATGTCTTTTAACCTGTTTATGTACAGAATTTATCTATTTTAAACCATACATGAGGAACTGAATAACTTCGAATGTAAAGTGTATGTATTTTATCAAGTTGTAACAGTGAGGGGTTTATAGGCGCTACCAACTGACCCGGCCGATGGGTCTAGAGCTTTTAGCCGATTTGGTAGGAGCGTCGGATTTGAAGCTGGTGCTCGGGTTAGGCGTGGGTTCGAACCCCGGTCCGGGACCAGGAGTGTCTTAAAAGTTTATGTTTCTACTCTCCAATTTATTACAAAGTGTTTTGAAATGTTGTATTACTGAATAATTGTAGTTTTACGATCAGCACTATATTTCTTTGTATAAATCATTTCAAGTTTTGTCAACTGAACTAATCAAAATTATGTGCAATATAACGTTAATATGTCAGTGTGAAAAAATGTAAATTGACTGCAATTGAGTGACAGCGAAAGTTATCTAGCCCGAGTGTCAGCCTTGTTAGCTTTCTTTTGCCTCCCAAGATCCGCTACCGGCCACAAAAAGGCTGACACTCAGGCTAAAAGTTATCCACTGCGAAAGTTCAATAAATATCTTGAATCTGAATCAGAGTCGGACGTGTTCTCCATGGGCGCCATCTTTGCCGCCATGTTGGACCGGACGACCTTGAGAATCGCCGAACACACCTGCATCGTGCCCTTCATCATTCCCGACATCCCCTTCGGCCAGGCACTGGACACAAGCCCTGACCTCAACATCTCCGAGGTGAGCTTTTCTTTAAGTATACATTCAAGTGACTAAGTAACATTTTAAGCTATCAACGAATATACAGTAATCCAAATTTTCACTTTATTCTTAATGAGCATTCAACCATAAACTATGTAATATATAATCCATGTGACTAGTTCCATATTTAAACTTACATATGTGCTTTTTCCGACTTATATCAACTCATTGATGTATTGAAATCTTACATCAGAAAGGTGATATCCTAGAATTACAACTTATAGATAATACATGTATTGTTTGTTAATTACTATTCCTTGTTTACAAAGACTGAGCCTTGTTGGATATATACATTGTATCGTGTAAAATCTTCCATTGTAATGACTGAAATTTTGGTATCTTTTGTAATTCGAAACGGAGTTTCCCATATGGATTTCCACGGGTTAACTTGGAAAACCCTCTGGAACTCCCTCCCACAGGACATTGTAGCTATTAAGGACAGATATGAATTTAAGAGCAGTGTTAACCACCACCTCAGTAATATTGGGCAGCATCCTTGTGGCAGCTGCTAAGCTGAGACTGGCATTGCATAGATAAAAAAAAACATTATGTCATTATGTGGAAGACGTTTCTCCCAGCTTTTTGTGATATCAATATGGTTTTAAAGAAACTGTTATCTTAAACTTTCGCATCTCCAAGGTGATCATGAAGACCGTGGCGACAGAAGACAGCCTGAAGACACTAATAGTGTCTATGTTGGCGACGGATCCGGAGTTCAGACCGACGGCTGAGTTCGTGAACGAGCGGCTACACGCCATAGGTAAGTTTATAAAAATTCCTGCCCGGAGCCTAATTTGAAATAACAAAGATAAAAGAGTATTGAGACAGGACACAAAATAACTTCAAAATCTACATAATAACACAAGGTAATGGTCTAAAACTATAGGTATGTATAGAACTATGTCTGAAGGGCTTGACTCTTTTGTAAACCAAAAGAGGGACGATATGAAAGACGTAATGTCCTAATCTCCAAGAAGATCATACGGTACCAAGATAGTATCCATTGGCCAGAGGAGTGTCCATTAGCCACTGAAGGTGGCCGTACAAACTCCTCTGGCTTATGGATACTGTCTCGCCACCGAAAGGGATCTGCTTGGAGATTAGGACATTACTATGTCTAAAGGGTTTGACTTCTCTTTTGTAAACCATGGAAGATGTAATGTCCCACCTTTTCCACTTTTTTTATAGGGAACGCTACGGGCGCCATGGCAGCAGTGTTCCTCGGGATAGCGGTGGCTGTTTTCGGAGCCCTGACGGGGTTCTGGCCGTTGTTTCTGGTCGGTCTGCTCGGTGGAATGTTGGCGTTTTATCTTGTAATCAGCTCTGGATAGGATTTGATATCGTAGAGTGGGACTCGTTGCCACCAAGTTCAGTTGGATCATCATCACTGGAAAGCGTTGAACAACTCATGCATGCATTTAGATGTGCAACGATTGGGTGAAGCAAAGATTTTGTGTAATATAGCTAGCTGCCGCCGTGCCGCGTGCCTGCGAAGCTGGTGTGTTGCACTGAAGGGTGGTTATACCAGCTATACTGATACAGACATTCTGGCCGTAGCTTAGGTAGCTTTGGTCACAATTGAATGTAACAAATTGCCTGTCAAATTGTAGCAAATGGCGTATAGAATAATTATGTTGATCTTCAGTTGCTGTGTTAGTGCATGTAAAATATGTGTACTTTAGTCTATCTGTGCATGAAACGAGTGCTGTTTGAATTTTCATGCATGGATGTTTTAAAATTACTTAGGTAGTGTAAGGGGAATCTTTTATGATTAGTTAGTTAGTTATGCTATGGAATGTTGAAGCCATGACAGATAAACTTGTTAATATGAATGTTAGTAACTTATTTATATTAGATGAAAGAACACTTAGCAAAAGTATGGTCGAAGCGTATTGAGACGAAATGATATGTACTAAACTAACGTATTCTTGTTTCACCGAGGGTGTATCTTATGAAGCTTTTTTACTTAGCAACAGCATTCCTATGGTTTTATATCATATTTTAAGTTAGAAGGAAAAAGAGAAGAAGAAAGAAAAGATGAAAGAGAGAGAAAGAGTGAGAGAAAGAAAGAGAGAGAGATCACTAATTTGGACGCAAAGAAAGACGAGTAGCAAAGTACCGATCCTATCAGACTATACAGGTAGATCTTAACATAAGTGACCTTAAACTGAGAAATGTCGTTGCTAATAAAAATATTGGTGCAATAAAACATTTTTTTAAACATCTACCTGGACTTAGAGTACTTTGTGCATATTACTCATCAACGTCCTCCATTACCATCTTTGCTGTTTACTCTTGGGTCCCACTAAACGACGAAATACAGCAGAAATACCTGAATAACTGCGGAACACACCGTGATCATTTTGTACGTGACAACATGCTTGAATACCGAACGTGAGTCGGATCGCCTGACGGCCGGTTATGTCATATCCACCCTAAAAAAAAAACACGCCTTTCAATGCGTAATGTGGCAAAATGTGGGCCCCGAAAACATAAACATATTATATAATGCAACAACATAAATTCCAACGTCCGAATCCGGTATTCGAATGTTCGATAGTGGTGTAATCGGCACAAGCGAAACGCATTCGAAATATTCTATGGAACATTTGTGATGCTATAATAAACCAAATAGAACCCTGTGAGATATCGCTAGTTAACACAGATAACATTTGTATCCAACATGATCGCGGCCCAGGTTTGACATATCTCACAGTAAATGTTTTTAGTGGAACGACTAATGTCACAGTAGCTACCGTCCTTGACCGTTGAGTGGCCTTGACATTGATCGTTAGACCCGCACGTAAACAGACCCAAGTCCAGTACCCGCTGGGGGACCCCGTCAACTCCGGCTGACCCCTAGGCCCTGTTTGTTTGTTTTTATTTGTTTTATTAGGATCCCCATTAGTGTAAATTTTAATCTCCAAGCAGATCGCTTTCGGTAGCAAAAAAGACAGTATCAAATTGGCCTGGCAGTATCCATTAGCCAGAGAAGGTCGCCGGCGGTCAGGACAACAAAAAAACGGCAAAAAAAAAAAAAAACGGCAAAAAAGGCAACGATCATTCCCCCACAACCGCGAGCTCTGCTTGGTGAGTAGTAAATTTGACAGTATTCTTCTGGAGTCCGTAGTGAATCAGACATTTAGTATTTGGACCATCGTACACCGGGACATGCCCCTACCCGTTTTGGAAAGGTGTGGTGGGTTACGTCTGGACGTCTAACCTTCACCGACGTGTGGTGGGTTCTTTAGCAGTATTCTTCCTGAAGCCCATTGCGAATCACCAACTTTCAAACAGAAGTATTGGATCATCGCACACTGGGACATGCTCCTACTCTTACTCTTTTTCGAAAGGTGCGGTGCTGGGTTCTTTAACGTGCGTGTGGCTCTGAGTCTTGCCAAACGCGTACATGTATGACCGTACGGATGTTTTGTCGTTTATGATTTTCAGTGCGTCATCATAATAGTACCGGGTGTCGACTCGATAAGGATCTACTTTATAATACAACGAACTTTTCTATGACAAAACTGATGAATTATGTGCAACGCGTCCTCTCAACTGTCCCTACAATATCCTCAATTTGCCGTCGTATGACATATCTTAACTAATGGTGAAATTTCTCTACAAAGTTGGTTTAAAAATGCAGAACCTGAACAGATGAACTATTATAAAGAATATCTTAATGTAACGTTATATAGAAGTATGTTCGGACGAACGAAATGTCTTTCATACTGCTAAAGAACAAGTTTGATTTCAAAACAATCATTGCGCAACAATCATTGCGAAATTGAAAAGTTCATAGAGAGTTCACGCAGTCATTCTCCGGCCATCTAATCACCAGATCAGGTGCGTATTGATCTAATACATGTACACATTTCAACGTCCGAGCAATCGCAAGTCAGCCCGATGTCTATTCTTCTTGCCCGGCCAAAGTTCTAATCTCCAAGCAGATCCCTCTCGGCGGCAAAAAGACAGTATCAAATTGGCCAGGCAGTATCCATTAGCCAGAGAAGGTCGCCAGCCACCGTTGGTGGGATTAGCGACAAAAAAAACGGCCATATATAAAAAGCTAACGATCATTCCCCCACAACCTCTGCTTGGAGAGTACCAAAGTTCCGCTCCTGGTCTGTTTGTTGACGGGGGGCGGAGGTGCAAACCGCGGCACGAGGGAATCCCTTTCACTTAGCCTCTACCAGGCTTCGGGAGTCGGCTCGAAAGAGTAGAATCGAGAGATAGCATGCCGAGGGAGTTGGTCCGCTGAAAGTGCAGTTTGCCGCACCCAATTTCTACTCTGTCCAGTCGCCCCCTAAAGGTTGGTAGAGGCTACCTTTCACTGGAGTTTGTGGGGTCGCGATCTAGCCTGGGTGCCAGACTCTATCCAGGGCCCACACAGGCCAGCTCCTCGACTCCAGGGTTAGCCTGGGTACCAGACTGTTTCCAGGGTCTAAACAGGCCAGTTTCTCGACTCAAGGGCTAGCCTGGTTGCCAGGCGGTGTCCAGGGCCTACACAGGCCAGTTGCTCGTCTCCAGGGCTAGCCAGACTGCAGGAATGAGTTTTTGAACACCTCAATCCTTCGTTGATAACTCTGGTACTTGAAGGAATGACTATTTCTTGTTAGTAATTGGTACATCCACCAGTTTATTAGTCATTTTCTGCATTTCCCCATACCAGCAAGCGACCTTGGCACCAGCTAGTTGCCTAGCGAACATTAACGACAGAGCTTTCGGCTTGGAAACAAGAGGTCCCGAGTTCGAATCCTGCCATGCGACCGATCTAGTGCCATTGGTCCTAACGACTTTCCTCACTTCCCTCAAGCTAAAATGCGTATATCTGTTGTCCGCGCGTTTGCCTGCGTTGGTGGCGACATGAAAATATTGAAAAAACTTGAGTGTGCCGTCGCCACGTCTTGTAATGAATGTAGGAATAGAAAAATTGCCCGCAAGTCCGCTGACCGCCCAAAGACCCCCTGAACTCTACATAAACCCCGACGAAAGGGGTTTCCTCTTGGCGATATTTGCATGAGACAACCACAAAGGTGACGGCAGTTACACTTTGCCCAGGTATGTACAGACGTCTGTGATCTCTGTGACGGAACTACGCCGTGGATCAATAGAGACCCGCGATGGAACGATTAGATGGCCTCAAAATGACTCCGTGAACTCTTGGTGAACTTTTCAACTTTTCATCACTTTCATAACATTTGTATAACAGCGTCCTTGCATTCTTATAAGGATCTAAACCTTCATTAGGTTTGTTTTACCAATATGTGTTCAAAACCTCGTTTTTCTCTGGAACTATCATAGAGTGGAAATCGCTGCCACCAAGTACAGTAGGTGTATCATCACTAGATAGCTTTAAACAATGTTTAGAGTTAGATGTTAAGAAGTCGTTCTGTGTAATTTAGCTAGCTGCTGCCGCGCCGCGTGCCTGCGAAGCTGGTGTGTTAGGCCGAAGGGCGATTGTACCGGCTATACAAACACAAACACAAAGACAGATATAGACTGAGCAATTTCAGAGTTTCTGAGCAATTTCAAACAGTTCAAGTATGAAATGATGGTGATGACGCAATTGTGGTAAGAAACGCCAGTTAAATGTCAATATTTGAGAGATTTCCTCACCCAGAATAGTTTTGGATGCCTTTAATAGATAGGAACATCGGCACTTCAGCAATGCTACAGCCAACTCCCACGCAGATCTGTGTCTGTACCTGAATAGCCTGTATAACCGCTCCTCAGCGTAACATCTAACTCTAGGCATTGTTTAAAGCTATCTAATGACAATGCCCCTACTGTACTTGGTGACAGCGAGTTCCACTCTGCGATAGTTCAGATCTCTGAAGACGGAACCTCCCTAGTCTTTCATCTTGTTTGTTCATTTGAACTGGCCATAATTGGTTCTTATCACCAGTGATTAAACCTAGTCGTACAAATTTGCGGCACTTCACCGCGCACTAACTACCTTTCATGATCAGTAATCTTTTAAGCCAACATTTCTTACCGCAACAATTCAAATTCTTCAATGCGTCGTTTAGTTCGCGATTAAGAGTAGTCATCACCACTGTTCCTGTTCAGGGTTAGAATTGACATCACTATAAGCTAAGTTACTTTCACGGTCGATGTTCAGGACAACTTGCACTTCTTGTTCCGCCGCTCAGAACCTTTCAGCGTGCCACTAGGTTCTCTTCCAGCTCTCATCAATACACTGTCAACATACCTGTTTCCAAGTCATTTTACAACAACAGCTTCTTTCCCCGGACTGCAAAATTATGGAACTCTCTTCCAAACAGCTGCTTTCCGTCCGATTACAATCCACAAAGCTTCAAAACAAAGGTCCACCGCCATCTCCTGACATAACTACATTACACTCACTTACGTACCTCTAGCTCTATGCCTAGAAGTGGCCAAAAATAATTGGCCTTGCATTGAGCGACACCGTTAAAAAAAGTTAGAATTGACACCACTAAGCCCCTGTCACAGACTCACGACCTTCCCCCAAATTTGTTCCCGACCCGAAGACCAGCCGACCACGAGACGAAAAGAACTTGAGTTAAATTTGAGTCAAATCTAACCCCCAAACACGCCCAAACACTGCTGACTTGTAGAAAAATACAAGACAACCATGGTCGTACCCCCAAATGTCTTCAAAAATTTGAAAAACTCTGTCGACTAGTAGCAGAATTTGCCGAACACCAGCCAGCCGACCAAACCGACATTGCGACGACCTACTCCGAATAGTTGGGAACGTTCGGCTAGTGTTCGGGTGGCCAAACTCGTGAATGTGTGACAAGGGCTATAGCCACTACAAAAGAAGTCAAACCCAGTATTTTTAATATCAGTAGTTCTATGTGTACTAATTATCTGTTTTATACCAAATGTTTCTTCTGTTCATGCAATTAGCCGTCGGGCATGAATTTGCAATAAAACTTTCTACAAAATCTGACATCCAGAACAAGAAAGCATCTTTTTCCAGGTCCTACTAAAAGCGAAATACACCAGAAAGGGCAAAGTAGTCATTGAGAACCTTTTCGTCGGTACAGAAGCTATCACAAAAAAGATCTCGAACTCGAAAAATGTGCCAGAGTTTTGGGAAGTATGTTACAGACCGCTTACAAAGTATTATTTCATTCATCAAGCTTTTTTAACACTAGTACTATTTCGTCGGTACAGACGTTCTCACACACACATAAATTTTGTTGAACTGGAAGTTGAAAATGTGCCAGAGTTTCGCTAAGACAACACGGGAAGTTAGTGCGCCACAACTAGACCGCTTACTGTAAATTTACTTTGCGGTTTCTCGAGTGCCTCACGTGGATATTTAGGTGGGTAATTTAGATACGCCTATAGACGACATCGATCACCAATTCTTTGCCGTTCGGAGGGCATCCAGAGTTCAGACGCTGTCCCTGTACTTTTTCTGACCCCCAAAGTTTTTAGCCTCCGTAGCAGGCTTATAGAACTGGGGGTTTGGTGGTCTTTGGTTGTTTTCTGATTAGCCCAGTTCTAAAAACGGGGGTAATTCAACCAGGCCGGCTATGTTGTCTCTATGCAATCAGAAAATAGCACATAAAAGCTCCCAAAGACCCTGAAGACCCCCAAACCCCCAGTTTTTGGCGTGCTGTCGAGGCTACAAAGTTTTGCGCTCGCTGCTGCTACCATCAGTCCATGTGACGCAATAGTTAGTTAATGTTATATTGATAATCTAAGGTTTGAGCTGATAAGCCGATTTATTTTAGTTATCAGGTATAAACTGAAAGGTCAGCAGGTGAAATAACTGTATAGGGTCACCCAAAGTTTATACCGGGTCACGGAAAGTTCAGCCGTTGTACCAATTTCTAAATATTATCCCCCACACGACACAGAAATAGTACAGGTAACATTTGCTCTTGGCGTTGGTGCCTGTGTGTGTTTCTTTGTGCACAGAGAAAGGAGATTGTACCGTTGACAGGAGTATAAGAGAAACAACCATCCAAATGTCATGACTTTGAGTATTCAGACCCCTAGGGGGTGCTTTTGTATGGTTGTTGAGTCAATAGTGATGAAACTACAGCGTGTGATCGTTTGAACGACGACTTGTATAAGTTTGTTTGAGAGTGTTTAGAATAACGCTGTCTTGACAGTTATCGTGATTTTCCTAACAGAAGAAAACAAAAACCTACGTGATGTTGCGGTTGATGTATTGAAAAAATGTTATAAAAAGTTATATCAATATTTGTACATAGTAAGGGTATAGTTATGAGTTAAAGTTATATTCAATCATCTATATGATGCAACATAGCTCCCTTTTTCTGCTTACTCGGCTTTTTTCCATGCTAATGCAGCACAAAAAGACCGCAAAGTCAGCTATCGCCTTCGCAGCTAAAGTAATGCCCATAAATCGGAACGATTGATTTTGATAATAGCATGAGCTATGCCTTGGGTTGTGTTGGTGTTATAAATGGTTAGATTGCACTTAAATGTAAAGGCACGCTAGTCTTAAATACGTTATATTTTGCACTATATTCTCAAAGAAGCGATCACAGGTCAAAGTTTTTCGTTTTCCGATTTCGTACGAAACATCTACAACCGTCCCACGAATGTCCTCTGTGCATTTGTTGCCGTATAAGTGTCGTGGGACACGTTTGTGACACAGGTTGAAGTACATATTACCCTCTAGTCGGGTCCAAAGTTGGAGAGATAGTTGCCCTTTGAAGGGCTCAGGTCTCGTCACAATTGTTGTTTCTAGTCCTTATCACTTGAGCGATATCTGACTCAAATCACAAACCCTGGACTTAACTTCATGGTTTTGTACTGTTGTTGTTGTAGCCTCTACTAAAGTACATTTTACTGCATTCGGGTGCGGCAAAATGTACTCTCTAGCGGAAAAACTACGCCGGTATGGTATTTGGCCAATTTCTACTCTTTCCAGCCGCCTCCGGCCAAAGCCTGGTAGAGGCTACTGTTGTTGTTATGCTGTATAAGTGGCGGTGTGGATACAAGTTGCATAACTTGACGTCTATTGTTACTTCGTCTTGTCTACGTACCTTATTTGAGGTATTCTGAAGAGATTTTTAAAAACCTAGACGATTCCACTGTCTCATAACGTATCAAGGAACGAAGGCGCGTTTGAACAATGCCTAAAAAGGGTGGCAAGATGATAACTCTCTGGCGAATGGATACTGCCTGGCCAATTTGATACTGTCTTGGCAGCCACAGCCGCCAGAAGATCTGCTTGGAGATTAGACAATGTTAGCCTCCACCATACTCCTTTGCAGGCTCAATATATAGTAGAAATCGGCCTAAAAAGTGGACATATCATTGGCCAGACTAGTTGGCCCACCAGAGCAGGCAAATGGACCCTCTCTGGTCGCCCGACTTTTCTGGGAAATGATTTCCCCTTTTTAGGCCGATTTCTACTATTTATTGAGCCTGCAAAGAAGTCTGGTGGAGGCTAATAGCTTCCCTTGACGTCCAAAGTACGGTATTAAAAGGGAAATATAAATCCGTATTTTAAGCGGATAATCCCGTGACAAAGACGGTCTGTTAAGACCCTGTCGTCGCTCCACTGCCCTACTTAAAAAGTCAATGGGGATTATCCGGCTTAAGCTATGGTTAACAGGATTGAATAACCTCAAGCATTTCCGCTGTAACGGATTAAGAGATCTAGAACGTCTCGCCTTTGTTAAAGTAAGTAGATGTGGATGTATGCAAAAGATTATAGCCATCTCTTAGACTCTTTTAGTCGTCTTTCTCCTTTTCATTTAATGATATCTTGTGCGTCGTTGTTCTGTTTCTTTAGTGATGGTCTATTCATAACTGTCTAAAAGCAAATGGTATAATTAAGTCACTTTTAGTTACCGTCTTGGTCCAAAAGTAGACTGTTTTTAGTCGTCTTTTTATTTCACAATTTCTCGTATCTCGCTGGTCTATTTCTTTAGTTACGGTCTCTTAATGTCCACCCTGCAAAGCAAATGGTATAATTAAGTCACTTTTGTTCCCGTCTTATTGGTCTAATAAAAGTAGACAGAGTTAATCAGTGTTCTGAAGTGTGTCATCTTTCGTCTGACCAATCAACTCGTTTCTGTCTGTGCACCAAAAGCGTAGGCCAATCACAGCGCTTAAAACATACCTAGAGGCTATGTCGTGTGTTCCCGTGATCGCCAAAGGCTATAAAAACGACCCAGTCTCTGATATAGCTTCCACTACAGGACGCGTGCAGCCAATCTGCATCTGTATCTGTATAGCCGGTATAACCGCCTTTCGGAGTAACCCCAGTTTCTGTATCTGTATAGCCGGTATAACCGCCCATCGGTGTAACACACCAGCTTCTGTATCTGTATAGCCGGTATAACCAGCCTTCGGCGTAACACACCAGCTACAAGAGTCGGACAAGAAGGCATCTGGTATTAGCGTTTTAGCCATGCTCTTCGCTCTAGCCATGGATGCTGTGAAGGCGGCGGTAGGTGTTCTCGACCTCAGCACGGTTCTAGTCCTTGTGGTGTCGTTCCTCGCGACGGTTGTGTTACTCGGGCGGTCGAGGCGGCGTGGACGTCTCCCGCCCGGCCCCCGACCCTGGCCGCTGATCGGGAACCTTCCCAGCCTCACGGCACACCCGCATCGGAAGTTCACGGAGTGGCGGGGGAGGTACGGCGACGTGTACACCGTCAGGTTAGTGCACGCACTTATAACGTTATATAGAACAAATAGTATAAGTTGATTCATCTATCGTTTTGTACGTAGGTAAACTTTGCTGTACCCATGTATTTGTGTGTTTGTCTACATGTAGTTTAAGGCCTTACGAAAGTCGCTGTACTTCTACAATGTAAGCCTCGTAATTCAGCCATCACGGCTGCCAGGAGGCTTGTCAGTAGCCTCTACCAGGCTTCGGGGGGCGGCTGGAAAGAGTAGAAATCGGCCAAATAGAGAGATAGCATGCCACGGGAGTTGGTCTACTACTGTTCTCTCCAGCAGACCAACTCCCCTGGCATGCTATCTCTCTATTTGGTCGATTTCTACTCTTTCCAGCCGCCTCCCGAAGCCTGGTAGAGGCTAGCCTGTCAGCGCTTGCGTGTATATTGTTTTGCTTATTTAATAAACCAGTCTTCTACTAGGATGGGTCCCGACGACGTGGTGATCGTGAACGGGTGGGACGCCGCGCGGGAGTCCCTCGTCAGGCAGGCCGACGACTTCGCCGACAGACCCCGCCTGTACGTGTTCGACCGGCTATCACACGGAGGGAAAGGTATATAGGCAGGTCTTAGTCTCTACCAGACTCTTTTATAGGATGAATAAATACTAGAAATCGTCCTAAAATTAGTCTGTGTAACGCAAACTCTGCCATTCGCGGCTTTAGTAGCCCCTCCCCGCACGGAGTGGCGGGCGGCGGCTGGATATTGGGCGGCCGGCAACCGTAAAGCGATCAGGCTAAAATGGGATATAACTGGCCAGGGGAGTTATCGTATATATACGTTAATTTCACGTCATTATCTGTAGCAATAAATACAGCATTAAGCCCATCACAACAGAAAGAAAAAGATTGGCTGGTCTAAAAGTCTTCACCCGACATGCACGCTACTGGAAAGGGTTGCAATTCTTAACCCGTGGTCCACTGTTCATTGTGCTTGTCGAAAAGAGCTAGGGGAATTTCCCCGGTACAATGAACCTGTAAATACTGTACATAGCGTCTCTGTCTTCTCTGTCACGACCAGTGGGAGATTAGCTCTTCAGTGAGCTAAAGCTGGATCGAGATCACTTTCTTTTCCTTTTATCATGGCCGATTGATTACGCCTTCTCGCTCTAGTTTGTTTGGACCTGTATCTATTCACGAAAAGCTTAAATCGACCCACAGGTTACTTTCCATGACGGGTAAAAATAGCCTTTTACCCACATGTCGGACGGGGAACCAGACGTTCGGCAGGACGATGACATAGTTGTTCAGCGGGCCGGTAAGGAGGTCGCCCGACCGATAGTTCTGCCGTCAGGCCCCTGTCATAGCCTCCACCAGGCTTTCTACGGATATAAGGATAGTAGAATTCGGCAAAAAGGAGAATTAAGTGAGCCAAGGGAGTCCGGTCGCGGGGAGGTAGTTTCTTTCCCAGTCAAACCTACAAGGCGGCCAAACTCCCCTGGCAATTATTCTCTCGTATGTATAGCCAGCGTAGTTAGTCTGGTAGAGACTACCCCTGTCACTCCAACCAGTCGACCGATTGACGATCGCGAACACTATGATCAGATCTAGGCCACGTCTACCTTTTTACACAAATTGAACGAATTTAAGTTAAATGTGAGTGAGATTTGACCCCGAACACGCCCCGTACATCTACAACTGTCTCAAGAAGCGAGAAGAAGTTGAACCTGTAAATGATGGTTCACATTGGTATGTATGTATAGTTTAAGTAAACTATTACTGTAAATTTTCTTGTTTATTCATGAACTGTACTTAGTTTGTAAGAGCATAAGCGTACAATAAAGGCCTCATTCATATATAAGGATTCATTCATATATATATATATATATATAT